ACTCCAACAGCAATTAGTAGTGAGCTAGTTCTCTTCACCATTAAATATTTTTGCATCTGTGTAAGTATCTCCTGCAGAAAACCTCAAACCAGCTGTAAACAAAGTCAAATACAACTGACTGCAGTTCACAGGCTGATTCCCAAACTCCTAATTGCCAAGCTGGTTAGATATCAGAAAACCCAGTTTTTGTGTCCTCTCTCAATCAATCAAGTATTGAAAAATACTTTTCTACATTTTAATTTATTGGTGTTAATGTTAACAGAACTTGAGGTTTTGGTAAATGGGTTTACTTTTTATGCTATGAAACTGCTTTGAGCATAGAATTTAGATTCAGCCAAGTCAACATTACTGTTTATTACTTACTTGTGGCAGAAGCACTGACTCAACATGGCTTTATGCTGACAATATAAAAGTATTTTACAATGCATAATAATCTGTTTAGTTAAAACTACATTGGGTGGTGTTTTTCAGCCATGGGGATCAATTCTAAGAAACTGGAATTTCCTGGCAGTGACACATCCTGGCTACATGGCCTTCCTTACCTATGATGAAGTCAAGGCCCGACTACACAAATACATCAACAAGCCCGGCAGGTATGTGCATTTTAGCACCTAAAAACTTGGTAAATATCATTCATATATGTTGCTATATATATGATGTATTGTGAAGACAAGAGACCATACGTTTTTGAGCCTTTACATTCATGTTTGAGTGGACTATAATAACCCCCTGCTGCCTCTTTGAGAAGCCCAAAGGTCAAAATTTTTCACCTACAGCTTCCCTGTTGTTATCAGTGTGCTGACGCATAGCCAGATCTGAAAGTTAATGTGCTGTTTCAGGATTCAGTATTTATGAATTTAACCACTGATCCCCTCATGTTCATGAATATTTACAGAGTTGACTACCATAGCAAACAGACTTCAATCTCAGGCTCTAAGGCAACAGATACTGTATGTCAGTAATACACAATTAAATGTGCCAAAGAATGGGAGAGCATTCATATGGAAGCTCAGTATTCAAGTTAAATGATGTTTACCCATTATTTGGCCCCAAAGAGGGGGTGTCAGGCCATGCCATCATAAACCTATCCCTATCCCAACCTACCCTTAACACAAAGCATCCCTGAATCCATTCATCACCCAGGCAATTCCATTATATTATACATTAACAATATATGTAAGGTTTCTGAAATAGTCAAAGTGGTTTTGTTTGCTGATGATACTACGATTTGGGCATCTGATGAAAACCTACAGCAACTCGTGGGAAGGGTTTCAGAGGAATTTGTGAAGATAAAGAAATGGTGCGATAGCAACTTACTATCTTTGAATTTGGAGAAAACTAAATATATGGTATTTGGGAATCGTAGACCACATAATGAACTTCAATTGAAAATTGGGGGCGCTAACATAGAACGAGTATATGAAATCAAATTTCTGGGTGTCATGGTTGATGATAGATTCTCCTGGAAATCTCATATCAGATATGTTCAGCATAAAATAGCTAAAAATATATCGATATTGGCAAGGGTTAGATACAGTATATGCTGGACGTAAAAGCACTTCGCATTTTGTATTCTGCATTGATATTACCATATTTGGAGTATGGCGTTGAAAACTGGGGAAACACTTACAAAAGTTCACTTCAACCATTGTACATATTACA